GCGACGTTCGGAATACGGAGTGACTCCAAGTGACTCCAACTGACCGTTGGAAAATATTATGCTACTAAAATGGTATTATAATGACAATATTAATAAAATAATTAATACAAAACCTTAATAATTAAAACTAAATGCGTTAGTTAGTCACGACATTCATTTGCCACGCTCGTTCCGATTTCTCTTGTTCGAATTAAATAACATCAATATAAATTCATTCGTGCTGTAACAATGACAAATTGAAGGTAGATACGTATTAAAGATAAAAATCAAGAACTACGTGGAGATATAAAGAAGTACCGTAACCCCTAAAAATATGCTTATAAGAACGTAAAATTCATCACGTTAATATTTGAAACGCTAAAGTTTGTTAGGGCGTGTGTTTATTACTTGTTTATTGTGATTTTAATATAATTAAATGAAAATAACTTATATGCTGAATTAATAGGGATAAAATTGCGACATATCTACCGCTAGCACCGCAGCAAAAATTACTACGTATGTATGTTTGTCCTTGTTACACCTTCGCCTTAAAACGGTTTAGCAAATTTAGAAGAAATACTAGGTACTAGCTTATAATAATTAATTAGATTCAGTGCTTTACATATCAAGGAGATGAAGAATTATTAAATCATAAAAAATAAGGTAATCTTTATACTTAAATATATCAGCCCTTTCCCTTATTTAAAGGCTTTGTCCTTTACAATATAATAAGATATTGCATAAAGCCAGCTGGCCGCCACCTGGCCCTATCGCTCTCATTGACAGACACAAATGACTGCAACAGCTGTCTGTGCTTATAAAGGTATAACTCGTGTTTTAGAGTTGATGGTATTATAGTTTTGATCTATGATTTATTTAAATGTAAATTACAGTCGCCATGCTGTAACTATAACAATCTTAGCTATTTGTACATATGTATGTATGTACTTTTAAATAAAAGTGTATCAATATTTATAATAGGCATTAGACACTTTCCTTAGCTTTACTCGGTTGAGTCTTTAGGTGCTTAATGGGAGGTATCTGTGAGATTCAGCTCATTTAGACAGACATTTGCCCAAGGCAAAAGCTAATCAACCTTTAAAATTGTCTGTCCAAAATAGTTAAACCGATTACGCCGTAAAAAATCTTATGGGATAAAGGTTAGAAGGAGAACAGCTTAGTGGACTTCAATGAAACTTAAATTGGCGTTTGCCGTAATACGCAAAATGCGACGTGGCTTAAAATAAAATGCTATCTAAATCTATGTATTTTAAAGGCTTGATCTTTCGGTGTGTAACTTAGCAATATCTGTATATAAAATATTAAAAAAAATGACTGTAACGTATTGTGTACACAATATAGACACCAAAACAATAGTTATTAAATTTGTCTGTTTGTCTGTTTTAGTGTTCGCGGTTCGCGGAATGCACCCGAGCGAAGCGTGGATAAATCGCTATTATACTATATACATATATACGTATACGTGACTCGAACTCTGAAGCTCTAAATAAATAATACCACATGAGACGTACTTAAACCTACATGTAATGAAAACTAAATGCTATCATGTTGACTTAGTAGATATATGTAATCGCAGACCGCAGTCTCTCAATACCTACTAGCGGATAGTGGAAATCGTAGCGAGTTGCAATTCTCTCTATTCCACGAAAGGAAGTTTGGGTAAATAAGATAAAATAGAAGCTGAGGGAAACGTAATTCTAGTTCTAATTGTCTACTAATTAATTTGATTAAATTATTATTTAACAATTTTCCACTTTACCTCGCATTCATTCCAGTAGGTACCGTTAAGTTTAAAAAAAAACTAATTCTTATTAAAAAAATCCTATTTAAATAATTTTAATATAGAATATATTACAGACTTTGAAATACTATTTTACATGTGTTATTATAACGTACATATTACATTATCTTGGTTTATTAAATAACAATGACTACATTTTTATTCAGCTTTGCCTTGAATTTTTTAAATATATATTCAGCAAATATAAAACCTTATATTATTGTAAGCAAGGAGTACTATATATTACGAAGGCCATAACACATTATACAGCACAGATTACTAGAAGCTTGATCTACCATAAGGAAGCTGAAAACCGTCTGTTTGTTTGTAATTATATATGTACATATATACATATTACATACATATAAAAATATGATTTTTACTTGTATTTACGTAATAAATTTCCATTTCTAGTAACAAATTTTCACATAAGAAGAAGCAGAAGAAAAGAAATGTTAAAACGATAATATAATTGAATTTCAATAAACACCAGTTACATAAAATGGCCCATACAGAAAATCAAGGGCAAAAAAATCTTTTTATTTTTAGTTACTACTTATCATATCGATAAATTAACGTTTAACGTTTCCCAAAACATTGTATTTTATGTTCATCTTAAGCCTGTCCTTGATATTTAAAAATATCACAATAATTTAAGCTTTTAACTATAGAAATGTCAAGAGTCCTGCGCATGCGCAGTGTCAATGTGTGGGCTTAGCTCACGGAAGTTAATAAGAAGTAATGTACCAGTTACATATTGCAACATTTCTTATTGAGTCAAGGTTAGTTGTCCTTTTAGTTGCTGCCAACTTCGTAATCTGGTTTATTCAATAACGGAACAAAGTGCAGGTTTTTTTATCATATATGATCAATGAGATAAAACTTGGCTCAAAGGCTGGCTTATAAGACTTCCCCTTTAGAGATCTTCCGCCTGATCAATATTTTTGTCACGACGGCCTAACTCACTAAGATTAGCCATCTAAATTTATATATAATTATTATTATATAATATATAATTTATTTATTTATTATTTATATATAATATATAATTTATTATTATAGCGCACAAATGTATGCTTAAATACAAGAGCATTCTCAATACACTCAATCGACTATATGACCAAACAGAAATTAGACGCGGGACTATCGACGTGCTTTCCAAGAGAATAACACCAAGTACCAGTTTCCATATAAAAAATAGTACGGGTTGCAGAAACAGAAAATTTCTTAGCAGAAAAATGCTAGCAATGGGAACATGAGGTAATTCCCCTTATCAAGTTGTTTTTTTTTATTTATCAAGATGTTTATCCTGAAAAGCTATACTTAATTATTAAAAAGAAATAAACGTGTAATGTAATAAAATGTTGAAAGTTATTCCAAATTAGCAATTTTATCATATTTTATGCAACTACTCGTAATGTTAAATGCTTTTTCAAGCACATTATTTATATTATATTTTATATTTACATAGCAACCGGATAAAATAATTACCACCGTAATCCATTTTAAGTGGTTATGTACTGGCATTGCAGAATGCAGATAAAAATTATTTGGTATGTTTCGGTAAATTAAGGAATGGAATATTTCTTATAAAAATAAATATGCGTCAATTCAATCCTAAGTAGGTAGGTATACCTAATCATCTATATAAATAAATAATTGAAGTATCTGTTTGTAATACCAAAATAACAGCTTTTTACTAAATGCATATGAAAGTATAAATGGTACTTATTAGAAGAAAATCAATTTTGAAACTGTCTGTTTGTTCCAGCTAATCTCCGAAGCGGCTGGACCGATTTTGACGGGACTTACTGGCGGATAGCTGATCCTATAAGGAGTAAATTAGGCTACTTTTATTTAACAAAACAATTAAAACGTATCTAAGGCACGCAGCCAAGCGAAGCGAGGGTAAGTCGCTAGTTTTAAATAAAACATCCGGTTCGATTTTACCAAAATTCTAATGTGCGAGATCCAAATTTTTTCTTGAAAGATAGAGAGTGTAACAGAATATGATAATAGGACTATTAGAGAGCACTTTCCGGTTCCTAGATTAGTATGAAAGAAAAAAAACCAACCGATCTCACTTTTGGAGTTATTAGTGAGGTTTCGATACTTTCATTACTGCTTCATACCACGTAAACATTAACTTACACAATAAAATATATAGGTACTTCAATTTTTTAACAAAGTTTTTATGAAAGTTGCATGTTGAACCACTTTCAAGCATTAAAATTTTATTCGAGGTCAATCCAATATTATAATATAGGGCGTAATCATTAGGTATAATCAGTAAACACAAACTGTAATTCTCTAATGCATTATTTAAATTATAATTTTGCTTATGAATATTAAAAAATAAAACCTTGATGTTGTAAAATTGAAGTATTTATTATAAATACATTAAGTTATAAAACATTTTTTTAAAATAAAAAAACTATATTTATTATTTAGTATTTCTGCATTTGCAAATTGTGCTCTCATTTGGGTATTGCAGTTCCGTCTTGTTACATCCCTTAAAACCAATCCATTTAACATTAAAATCAAAAACAACTCTACATAGAGATATTTCCACACAATCTTCTTAGATGTATTTTCTTACTGAAATGGCAATTGTGTGACTTGAGAAACGTAACATCGCTTCACTCGCGCTAGAACTCCAAAAATTCGCTAAAAAGGTAGTTTCATACAAAAGTTCATCCCCTATTTTACCCGTTTATGGGATGAATTTCGAAAAATGCTAATACACGGATTTATTTAATTTTATTGAAGAGCATTAATACCAAGTTTCAAGTAATTCTGATCATAAATATTTTTGGATTGTATTATAAAGTGTTTTCCCTTGGAAATTAGGAAATCTCCCGCGGTAATAAATAGCCTATGTCACTCTCCAGCCCTCTAACTATCTCCACACAAAAAATCACGCCAATCCGTCACTCCGTTTCGACGTGAAAGAAGGACAAACAAACAAACACTTTCACATTTATAATATTAGTATGGATATAGATATTGGCATTTGACATGACCGCCTTTGCCCTATCTATCGCTCGAGGGTCTATATTGCCTTTAAAGGCTTAAAAAAGTGTAACACGTTTGACCGGGCACCTCTGTGCCAGTACTGCGAGTAGAAAGTGAAACTTTGAGAGTTGCTATAAAAATTGTAGCGTCAGCTGCGCGGAGTTCAGTTGAGGCGAGCGCGCCCTCCTAGTGACGTCCAGACACCATGGTCAGTGTTCTTTAAAATATTATTCGGAATATTTTATTTATAGTGAATAGTTGTAAGTGGTTTTGTTTCATGAAAATGTTACAAGGTTTTATTTTCTTTGTTTTTTTTTTTGACTCAATGTTAAGCTAAGTTCAATTGATAGATATCGTTATTATTAATGTATGGATAAACTTTTAAAAGTTACGCCTAACTTAACTTTTTTTTGCTGCTTTTTACTTTTTTACAATTTTATGTAGGTATATTGAAATTATAAAATGAGATAATTTATATAGTTATCTATATAAAAAATATAAAAAACCGATAAAGCTCTACAGCTTTATTTTTTTTTTTATAAAAAAACGATAAAGCTCTACAGCTTTATTGTTTTTTTTTATAAAAAAAATTAAGGTACCTATTCTTTTAGACAATTACAGTGACTACAAATAATTTCCTTTTAAAATTCATATAGATAACATCTCGTAATTTGAATTGCGTACAATCATACATACGCACAGGAATAATTTATCGCTTGAATGGCACTCGTTAATAGAATCACTTCACAATTAACATTTGTTTGCTAATTTAACCGATTTACGTAGATTTTCAGAGCGTAAACAAATTAACTCACAAGGCCAATGTGTAATCTTTCACAACTCAAACAATGAAATTATATTTTGTAATTAAAAAAAATCTCACCACGGCCACATCGCAATCATATTTTAAAAATGTTACTAAATATAATAAAATATTTGAAAAAATTCTAACGTGTTTAATACTTTATTTAACAATATGTAATAGTGTGTCGCATCTTTTTATTATGATGAATGGTTTTGGAAGTTCATTGGTTTTTATCAATGAACGAGCGACTCACCCTCGGTTCGCTCGGGTTCGTCTCTAGGTACGTTTTAATGGTTAGTATAGTTTTCGCAGGGATGAGATATTTTCCCGCAGTAAAAAGTATCCTTTATATTAACCCGGAAATTATATAAAAAGTAAAAACCAAATTTCATCAAAATCTCTTCAGTGGAGTTTCCGTGATACAGTCAGACAGACAAAAATTCTAAAAACTATCGATTCGGCCTCTGTATCGATAATAATGTCTATTTCAATTAGATTTTCCAAAACATATTTAATGTACAGATTCGAATCAGAATTTTATTTTATGTACTTATAACTTAGGTATAGATTTTCAATTTATCAGCTTTCGAAAAATAAATATATTATTTATAAAAAAAATTATCAAGTTTCAGCTAAATGTCAAAATTTTATATAACAAGTAGCATAAAAGTTTTACGAATTAATAAAGACAAGCCTTTGTATTTCACAAAAGCCTTGGCCTGCAAGTAATACAACAGCATGACAATTGCACATAAACTCAATAAATTGAAGTAAATTAAATCGAAACTTGTCAACGAACATTATTTACGCCAATGCCATTTTATTTAACGATATTTATCGATTTGTGCCACTTTTCATTGGATAAAATTATCAATGGACAATATTTTTTAAATTTAACTTGGCATAATTTTAAAAAGTATATGATATAAAATTATAAATGTGTAACTAATTTTATTATATTCATAAAATATTAAAAAATTTAAATGAAAATTGATATTTTCATTTAAATTTGTAAACTTCGTAGATACTTATGTAAAATATTTCTTTTCGAGTCTTATCATCACCGGATCATTATTATTAGAACGGTCAATTTAAAGCTGATACATAAACTGACACTATAAATATTAATGTACATATAACAATATGTTATCAACACAACTGATTATAAGAAAAATTACTACAAGTCGCTCCGTAAATCGAGCAAGTAAAAGTTAATTTGCTTCGGCCTTGATTTTGCTGACAACGGAAACCTACACTTTGTGGTACAAACTAAAGGGTACTTTAACTACAATTGGTCACTGGCATTGGAGCCTTTCACTTATACGGAACCTTTGAAGGTTAATCACAATGAGCGGGCGTGGACAAATCAATAACATTTTTATCTTAGAATCCTTTAATCAACTGTCAATCTTAATTATGCCTACATTTACATAATATATTGGTATAAAGTACAATTTTGCGCTATTACCAACTTTGGCTTTATTAATTACTACAAATAAATACAAAAACAAATCTATCCCACGGGAACCGTAAATTTTTCTGGGATAAAAGTAGCCTATGTGTTACTCTGATGTATGAGCTATATTATTGCAGTTTCATTAAAATCCCTTGAGTAGTTTTTGCGTGAAAGAGTAACAAACATTCATAACATTCAGACATCCTCACAAGCTTTCGCATTTATAATGATGTTCTCCTGATCGATTCCGGCCACGGCGGCCAATCTCATTGAGACTAGCCAACTGTGCAGGAGATATTATAGTGCACAAGTGTGCGCGCAGACACAAGTGCACTCTCTATTCCTGTCACTCTCATACTCCGGTGGGACGACTGCTCGACACGACCAGTGAGAGTTAGTCGCAGGACCGACGGCTTTACGTGCTCTCCGAGGCACGGGGGTGAAACACCGCCAACTTCCCAATTCCGGGCTGTTACTGAGACTTACTATACAGAAAGACTCAATAACTAAACTTGGCCCGACCCGGGACTCGAACCCAGGACCTCCGGGTGTGCAGCCGTACATGCTAGCCACTACACCACCGAGCCTTTATAATATTATTAGGATAATTATTAAACATTCTTTGAAGAAAATATTACCCAACATTAATTAATTTTAAAAAGCTTGTTATATTAACTGAAATATCTAAAAAAAATATTAGTCATGCTCAATAAAGTAAGTAAACGTTTTTTACAACACAATGCAGACCAGCGATAGTGCTCGTAATAGATTGCAACGGATCATATCCGCTTTGTATATACTCGTACATTTAAACTGTATTGGATTGCCAAATTTCATCATCCGGTGTACATTTTACTTTCTAAAAAAACAAGTGCAAGTATCACAGCTGATCTGAAACGATAGCTGACGGCGGTAATTGAGGGACAGAAGTTACATAAAAGAAATCAGCTATTTCCGAGTTGATAATTAAAATTTAAATATGCAATAACATGTTCCATGAGTTTTTTTAAATATTTTAGTTTTATATAATAACTATGTAGACACTCCACTAAAGTGTGAAACTTGTTATTTTTCTTTCTTAGAAGATAGACGTGACATACACAATTGCCTTCAGACTAGCGATATTATTATATTTACCGTAACGACTAGTAAAACAAAGAATAAACCTACCTCAGAAGTATAACGTTAAACTTTCTATTTTATCTCTTTTTAAACGTTGATATTGTATTAAATAATAGCTAAGAACATATTTTCTACTTTTCCATTCCGTAGCCCATTAACCATGATTCGACACGGGCAACACTTACATAAATATTATTAGTTATTTTCAATCGCTGGTAGGGTAATTATATTATTAGGCAATAGACGATTGATATGAAAGGGCCGAGTAGGAGTTAACACAGAGTGGGAATACTTGGTCTATGTCGGTAATACAGCACATGTGTTGATGAATAACAGATTTGTTAATGTTTCCAAAAAGTTGTTCTATAAATATTTATAACACTTTAATTTTATATACTTCGTTGTAGCCATAAAACTAAGATAACTATTTGTAGTATATGCGGCTTGAAGTACTGTGATGTTTTCTCTTTCCGCTGAAGTATATGGTGAGAATACAGTACGTAGCTTTAACATAATTCAATATGCTATTACAAATACAACGTAACCGGAAAGTGAAACTTTACGGTGTTACCACATCCGCGATAACACTTCAACGGTTCTCAAATTTTCTAAATCGCCAAACAAATTTTAAATTACCGTGGAATTAACGTATTCTTAAAAACGTAGACAAAGAATGTGTACAACAATAGTGTCAGGTCCGTGTGAGCAAGCTCCAATTACTCGGGTTGCGCAAGCGCAGCGGCCCGTGACCGGCCTTACCACATCTCGTTAGTCGTTACTTGTTCTGACATACTTCAATCACTCTCAACTTTCTGCGTGTTCGTTTATGACATGATAAGACACGTTTTATATCTTAATAACATGGCGGCTGCGCTAAGAGAACGTAAGTTCGATGAGAAACAATACCTGCTGATAGAATTCTGATCTCAAATGTAGATGACGATATAAAATATAATAAACTAATGAACTATAAAGATTTACAATTAACCGTAAACTTTCTTTACAGCATCTGATAATTCTTGGGACATTCCTGACGATGGCGTACGGGATGCCTTCCTACATAGCAGTTCCAGCAGATCAAATAGCGTTCGTGGACCTCACAGCGCTACGATCGAGTAGTAGATCGAGAGTAAGAGTCCCAAGACAGATCCTGACTCCACCACCACAGCTACCAGAAGCAATATATGAAGAAAACTACCAACCGATACCGATACATAATTATCATCAAGGAAGTAAGTGTGTTTGTTGTCTAACCTATAGCATTTTTTAAACAAATCACTCCACAATACGTAAGGGATCCTTTAAATCATACACTTTATAAACATTATTATAGCCCATCGTTTATTAACATAAACTAAATTTTCGCTGAGCGGTTCGGCCATATTCTTTTATTTTTTATTGATAACACTAAAGCCCATCAATAGCTACTTAAAAAAAAACGGTTGACAAATAGAGGAAAAAAAGGTACTGAGGTTTTGTCTTTGCCTGTTTATATACATATATGTAGATACAATGTACCTAATAAGTATTAATAATCCAAATCATAGCTTCCCTATTATTGGTACATAAGATTACATCTGAGTTTTATTCAATCGTACATTAATATGATTTACATAAAATATTGCAAGAAAATAAAATAACAATGTTACAGACGTGATCCTCATATGTAATTATAATATTGATCGTGTGGAATTAACGTGAATCATAGAAAAATAACAAATAACGAGACATAGCAACAGGAAGTTCTTAGTAATAGGTTATATATATTAGGATAAAATTTCACAATTGAAAGTGAAATAAGAAAGGGGTTAAATGTAAACGAAGGTCGAACGTGACTTTAGATAATGATATGCAGTGTTATAAGTACCGGAGCGTAACGGCTTAGTAAATGCCAAAGAAAGTGTAATAAGCATTGACTCGTACGGATATCAATCATCATTGTCCCGTGCCCTCACTTTCACCTTCACAAAAGGACAGCTTTCTAGCACAGACTTGTTTTATATTCACTCCAACAGTGGTAGAAATGTTCCATTGTAATATATTTATCTACTATAATTAGAATTATGTAACAAAATCATTCTTCCCTAGAATCCAAAGTGAGGTTATGCAAACAGGCTTGTTTGGCGCAATGGTGGTAAACCACTTTCAATTTATCGTCGACGCAATTATGTATTACCTTTGCCATAGCCTTCCGCGAGTAATTTAACGTCAGGTATTTAGATTTAAATTGCATGTCTACAGATTATCTAAATCAAGTAAAACAGTTATTTTGTAAGTGTAAATAATCATTTATTTCCTACAATGATAGCGTCTTCAATTAGGTGTGTGTGTTATACATTCATTTGTTATATATTTATTTATTATATATATATTTGAGCATATTTTGAAAAGTGTTCTTTTCAAAATATTCTAGTTAGTTTTTAATATATCATCAAGAAAAACGTGATGAAGAAATATTTTTACTAAATTACTTTGTTTCATTTTATAGCAATAGCGCTCGCCCCTCCTCCCCCACCCGAAGCCCCAGAACGGATTCAAAGTCAACCTGAAGAAGATGGAACTCCAAGCTCATCTAACAGCGGTGCAGTATCACATTTTGCGGAGAGACCTCCAGATTTTGGGGAATACGTAGATTTTGGAGCCCACACGGGAGATAATGGTGCCTTCGGGTGGTATGCGGACTATCCTGTCAACAACCAAGATAGCTCGGGATATAGGAAATAGTAAAAAATAGAAAAGTTTTGAGATACGTCTTCGACGTACACAACATAATCTATGATAGATATTTTTGGTGTCTCCAATATTTTTTAAAAGACACCAAATGTGAACAATTTGCAGTTAATATCATAAAATCTATACAAACTAGTAAAACCTATATCTTGCCAATGACTGAGTATCAAGAGAAAACTTGTTTTACCAAAGACAGTATTATTGTGAAGTGAAATACTCATTACGAGTTTAATTTAAGCTGAATTACCGCACATTTGTTTTAGACGGCTAATTCCGCAAAGCACGTTTTAACTATAAAGTTCCTTTATTAATCATAAGTTGACAAAGTATACTGTGATATAGCACCAAGGTAGTTCAAACTGTTCTTTTTATTTCTATTTATTCTCTCTTTTATATTCTTACTTATTCTTATTCTTGCAATACTTTCTCTTGCTACACTTTTCTTCACTGCTTGCTTCTTATATGTGAATTAATTTAATTTGCACTTTCTCTCTCTTCGCTTTTTTATCTTCTCTGTCTGCTTTACTTTATGCTTTAATTATTAACATACGTCATATATCTATAAAAACTTCTGTCTACTATCTTTTACATTTTTAAATCTTGATCATCTCATAATTTGACCACATATTTTTGGTTAGCTGTATTAATCTTTTTAATTATACAAATTCAAATATAACCATCATCTTCTTCTTTACACGTTATTATTCGCAATTCATTTCATTTTCAACATCCTTTATCACAACTTTCTATCAGGTTACATTTGCTTTTCTCACTTGATACTATCACTTATTTTTCATATTCTTTATCATTCAAAACTCAAGTCATTCTTCTTATCATAACTGTTACTCTTCTTGCTTCATACTATTTTCACAAATTCTTCTTTTCTATCTAATTTTTACTTGCATACTCTTATTTATATATTTACTTGTTTAAATATAAACTATTTTCCACATATATTCTTCATACTTTTTTTCTTTTTTTATAGCTCTCTCATTTCTTAAAACAAATTCCTAACTTATTCGACTTCACTTATTTCTATTTCATATATCCATCCATGCTATCTTTATTTTTCATCTACATTTTTTCAAACATAACTCTTATTTACTCTACTTTACTTACTCTTGTACCTAATCTTTACATATCTCATTTCTATTCTTTCATTAATTTCTTCTTTATCGTCAATAAAATTCGCATTTTACAATTTCATTTATTCACAATCTGCGTCTACTACGTCTGTTATACGTAGAATATTCTTAAATTCTATAACATTCACATCATTTCTCTTGTTATAATCATAACATATTACACTATTGCTATTTTAACTTCACTCATTTACTCTCATGACTCCTTATCTTTAACTATCTTGACAAGACATTATATATCATAATAGATGAATTTCATCTCTCTATTTTTTATATTAAATACTATTTTAAATAACATACATTCTTTTGGATCTCTAACTTATTCTAACTTCACTATCTAGAATATTGCAGCGAGCATATCCGTTGCGGAAATATATTTTTTATAATCTTCTTCTTGAACGTCTTGATTTTTTCTCTTCATTCTTCATAAATTCTTTTCATATTATTCTTGTCATATATTTTTTCTCTTAATTTATATTTTAAAATTCTCTATTCTTTTACGTCTCTATCTTAATACTTTTACATTTTCATAGTTTCTTATTTCACTTCTTTACTAAGTTCATTAAAATGCGTGCCTCTTTATAATACATGTATGTAATGTAAAACAACATTATACAAATTTCTTTGTTTTATCATTTATTTTACTCTTCATCTTTTCATTAAAATAATTTCTGTACTTCTAATTCAACACTATATTCGTAAATTTATTTCGTGTCTTTAGTTATTCTTTCTTACTACTTATTCTGTTTTAAGTTTTTTCGTTTTCACTATCTCAAAATCTTCTTTTGTATTTTTTCTATCTTTCATCTATCAGTATTTCTTTGCTTCTATCATATTTCTTGTTTTATTCACTTCACTATTTCATTCATTTCGTATACCGAATATTTTTCATTTTCTGCCATTCGACTGTTATGTATTTTAACATTTCTATTTTTCTTTTTATAAATATTACTTGACTTAGACTTCTATTTCCATCTTAAGTTGTATCACTTAACTTTCTATCTTCTCTATTTCTTAAATATTTTTACGTTTTTCACATCATCTTCTACAATAAAGCCTTTTTACTTCTTTGCGAATCATTTCTCTTATTGAATTTTATTTTTTTTTTTATCTTCCACTACTCTATAATCTATATTTCCAAACACTTAACTTTCTAAAAAGTTCGTTCTACTATATTTTATTTGCCTTTTTAATTTTTTTTTCTTCTAAGTTTCTTAAAGCGCAGGTAAAATATATTTCTTGTTATTATTATCTGTTGTCTTTTTTCCTTTACTCTATTTTCTCTCTTGCTCTAATGATACTATGTATATCAAATAAAAATCTTAATTCTATTTTCGTGATTCTTTCAATCCAGATTATATTTATAACTACTTTCTTTCGGTTTGGTTGTTATTATTATCTCTTTTTTTCCTTTACTCTATTTTCTCTCTTTTTATAATGTTACTACATAAAAAAGTCTTAATTCTACTTTTGTGATCATGTGATTCGTGATCACGATCTTTTAATCTAGATTATATTTATAACTTCTTTCTTTCGGTATCATTCTGTATTTCATTTCTTTATGTATAAGAAACTTGTTTGTTTTCTTCATGAACTCTTTTCTCTTTTCAAGATCTTTTATTTTCTTATTTCTTTTTTTTTTCTTATATTCTATATTTTTAATTTCTCTTGTTTCCATCTTAAACCGACTTGTAAAAATGATGTGAAATCTATAAATATAGACAATTTAATAGATCACTATGAAGTGGCTTCAAATAAATGTACTTAACCTTTTTCTACTCGACTTGCGGGGGCACTGCCGTGTCCCCAGATTATAATCCGCTTAATTATTTGAATGTAACCGAATAAGAAAGTATCGAGATTGGGTTAGTTGTAACATACTTTATACAAATAAACACTAAATTCAAATATTTACAACAATATCAACAGAAGTCGGAGAATATTCTTGCATTTCATAGTACTATAGTCTTAAAATTGATTACTATCAGTACTTCTATTTTTTTAATGCCTTTACTATTATATTATATTGATGTAACTTTCATATCACATATCTTTTATATTAACTCTTTATTTACTGCTCTCTTTTATATATTTCCGTATTCTATTTCTATCTTTTATTACTCTCTATTTATTCTTATTCTGTCTTATTCTATTATCTACTATTCTTTTTCTACTTGTATTACCGTCTACTGCTTTATTATACCTTTTCAGTAGAATATAGAAAACTTATATCTTTTTCTTATTATATATAAAGTATTTTTTCCACTATCTCTTTTTTCAAATGCTCTTTATATTATATTCTTCTCTTTTAGTTTATTATCTTATTATCAGTTTTTTTATAATCATATGTATATCTTATTTCTCTTCTCTATCTTTCTATCTGCTATTTTTTAATTTACTATTATTATTATTCTAGATTTCCTTTATATACTTTTATATAAGAAATGTTTTTCACTGTATCCTTTTTTATAGAATAAGAACTACCTGGTGATTTTTAGAACAATTTAGAATAATGCACAAATCGTTGCTACTTGTTATTGTTATTAAACATTTTTTTATCTATTTCTGTGTTTATTTTAATATTCTCCTCTTTATTATTCTCTTGTATAAACCCATAGATTTTAATTATAGAAATATTTACTTATGAAAATTTCAATAATATTGAACTATTTGTTACGTCTTTTGTGATTCTGCGTTATATTGAGTATGGTGCCAAAGATAACATAATACTGTACTACGTAGTACAGAAACTCCACTCATACAATTAAATTGGGGAGCTCTATTATCGGAGTATTTTATTCTGCTTGAATAGACGATAGATGGCGCTAATCTGAAAATTGTCAAATCTATATTTTTCTATATAAAAATATGTGGATTGATATGTGTAAAATATAGCAAAGTGGAAAACCAAAAAACTTCGGTGTCGATAATTATTTGTAACTGTCATAAACTACGCAAAAAAGGAAACAACGCTTAAATTAACTTCACGTTGTAACCAAAAGTCACTTCTAGAGGTGAAGGAAAAACTAGTGAAATAATCCGAAAAGAAGGTTTTAGTTAAAATAAAAAATATTCGCGTAAATCTAAAAAAAGTATTAGCGGACTAATATTATAAGTCCTGATTGATATCGATCAGGGTGGCGTTGGCCAATTTTCACTGAAACGGTACGGGCGGTAAATACACGTGCAATTGCATTGTTCTATTCTTTTCCCTTTCATATTCGGTGGGACGACAATTTGACACGACAAAATAGTGACCTGGCACAAGGTAGACTTTTTAAAGCGCCAACTACCTAATTATGTTTATCTGGAGTAAAAACGTATACTTCTTTAAGAACTAACATACCTCGTATTCGTACATAGTTCCTTGTTCAGATACTATAGAACAAAATTTTCACTATTGCAAGTGACTATATAGAGGCAACAGTTCGAGAAGAGATGGCAACTTCCGACTAAATGACGCTGTTATTTAACATTGAAAGTGTATTGATAAATATAGAAAACCACACGTGATACTTTCTGGATATTACTGACAAAAATAAATAAGATACTGTTATTATGTCATTTGTTGATGATTGATCAAATTGAATGAACATATAATACTTTCTTAGATATATTAGAAATTATTAAATAAATAAATATGTTGGGACATTAACACACAGCAACATCTAGTTCCATGGTAAGCTACGAGGCTTGTGTTATGGATACCAGATAGTTGATATACTACACATATGTAACTTTAAATACATACATATTATAAATATAAACACTCATGACTGAAGTGCAAATATTCGTGCTCATCACACAAATGAATGCTCCCAGCGGGATTCGAAGCCGCGACCGCTGGCACAGCAAGTAGAGTCACTACAAACTGAGCCAAACATGTCATCAAAATAAAAAAACGCTTTGAAATTTTACCTTTTATTATCATACAGTTAACATATATTCTTATACAGTTATATTTAAAATAGATTTCTTTATTTTATAACAGATTAATGAATATGCAAGTATAAGGTCTATGAGGCTAAATACACAATCAATTCATTCAGACTGTTCCAAGTAAATAGTGATTACTAGACATTTAAAAAAAAGCATGATATATAGCTAACACCAAAGAGAATCCAATATTAGAACCTGTTCACTAATCAAATATTTCAACTAATTTATCTAAAAATCTACATGTTATACAATTGAAAGTGGCAGTTTTTGAAAGAAGGGATTCCAGAAAAAGTAATCAGAAAATATACTTCTGCTATTCGTTAGATTTTTTTCTTATAGATAGATCATTTCATCCGACATTTAACTCACAGCGTGTTCGTAAACAAATGATCAAATATCAATGATTACAACAATGAATAAATTTATCATACACTTTACATAACACACATTACGAGAAAGTCATTAACGTTTAACCCATACACAAATAGGTAGCCAATTTTTGGCACTATTATCTGAACACTGTCTTGATTAGGCGTTTCGAGCATCTATGTCAGAATTTTACACGAATTACTTTGTACTAAATATTTGTTTAAATACGCTACACTAATGACTTCAAAGTTATAGTGACCGAAATCATTATGTTAGTTTAAATATTTAACTGTGTTTTTTTTTGTTTATGACACTTTTACTGTAAATGTGAAGCATAATACAAGAGATCGACTATAAAAATGACGTTGAAAAGAGGGTACTTTCAAAAAAGGATTTATATAATTTTATTGCGATAGTTTATCAAAGATAACTTCTATTAAGACCTACAGATAAAAAATATAGCCTTAATAAAGTAACCTAGTTTTTTATGACGGTATTTAAACTAAAAATATATGAATATTAAACATAAATGTGTAAATAGTTAATATATAGTTGTACTAAATTATCTCACTCAGCGGTAAAGTAAAATCACAGGCAGTAACGTAAAAATCTAAAATGGATAGAAATAAATAGTTATTTTCCGTTTTCCTTCACCATCTTACTCTACGTGATCTTATCAATACACTACACTTAGTTTTATGCAAGTACCCTCAAGTTTTACAAACTTTAAATTTTGTCTTTTTGCAAATTGCGGCGTTGCATGCAAGCATATCGTATAAATATTATATAAGCTCAATATTTTATGTTAATGTCACAGTTCAGCGCACTTCATAATAATCTTATAGAGTAGGTACTTAGTCAACTTAGTCCGCTAACACCTTTACGGTTATGATATATATATATATATATATATATATATATATATATATATATATATATATATATATAAAAGACCCCTGGCATATGCTAGTGGCGCGTTTTGCGTGAGATCTCTCACAGGCGCAACATTTAATTTATTTTAATACACTTACTAAAGGATTATTCGCGGATTTATTTTGATGTTTGGTGTCCGACGTTTCGAATTTTTTAGAACGTCACGAAAAATCAAAATAAATCTACGTAAACGAAAAGATGGTTTTATTTAAAATTAAAATGTCAAATATTCGCGTAAATCTTACAAAGTATTATCATTTACTAAAGCTTGAAAATATTTATTTCTTAAATGATTATCCATTTGAGCTCCATATAATATACCAATTAGAAACTACTAATTCCAACAGAATAAGTACTTGCATATAACTATCCCTTACTGTATACCCTACAGAAAGTCAAGAATATAAATACGACTAATAAGACACTTTCAATTTTCATCCATTCCCGTCACAACACAAAGAACTGTGGATGCACTAAAACGTTGCACAGATTAAAAATATTGTGTGTACATTAAAAAAATATAGGCATTTTAAAAATTGCAGCAATCCAACATTTTTATCTTGTTATAATTTTCAACAGTAGCAAACGTCATATTTTATTAAATATTAGAAATTTGACCGTTTTTTTGTATTTTTTTCTAGCAAGCGTCTTCTAGCATATAGAAGTATGATCTATTAAGAAACTATCTTTAATAATATTACACTATACATCAAATCGCTACACCGTCTATATATCGTTACCTATTCAAAGATACGTCTACTATGTAATTTACATCAAACCGGAACGACAAAAGTTTAAATGTTAAGAATTTATATACAACTCAATCGGCCTCTTTTTTTTTAATTAGAGATTAGTATGAAACTTTATTGGAATTATTTTGGTTACCTACAGTGGTTATAAGAAACGCGTCTATTTTCAATTTGAAAAACTTGTAGACCTGCAAAATTTTAAGCCCGACCATGTTTTGTGCACTCTTATTCATATTGATGAACAAATTAAAAAATATATAAATTGATCAATCATTTATCTTGAATGTACGGCAGGAATAAAAACATAACGTTAATTTTGACAAATTCAAATTAAGTTATCATTTTGCGATGAATCATTTTTATTCGTATTTCAAAAATTAAAGAAATAACAAAAATACAGGGCCGTACTCAAAGATTTAAAGGAGGCTCTGGACTATTTTATAGCCTACAAATATTTCGCTACTTAATAAATTATTCCAGTTATTTTTTTTTTATTAAGGTATAAAAAATAACATTTGGAAAAAAGAAAATTTAGGCCCTAAAGCTTCAACCGCTGTTGTCCTGTCCTGTTTAAATACTTTACAATCTCTTTTCTGATTGAATATTCCTTTCATAGAACATGTGATTTTAATGGTGAAAATCATATAATTTCAATACACCTAACATTCATTTAGATACATATTCTAACGTTTATGCACTATAATACACGTCCGAAAATACACTTTGCACTACTCACCTAGCTAACTGAATGATATGGTATTTGACGATCAACCAATAAAAAGTCCGTACAAAGTTATTTTTTTCTTGATACCAAGATAACTGCAATAAAAACAAAATGGCGATAGATAAAAACAACCTCCAAAATATGAGTTACAAAATAAAACAGCACCATGATTTAGAAAAGTGAGCATTTGAAAATTATTATTTAAAGTTATATATACATATTACTTGGATAATTTTGGAGTCGACAAAAATATACCTGTCGCTTTCATTCCCTTACAACCTTTATATTTAAGCGAATATGAAGGAAAGAGATAAAAGAGAATTAGGAAATTTCCTCTACATTTGTTATGTTTCAAACTGTATATATAGAGCAAATTCACCTTAATTTAGAGCTCTTAAAGGCATACATTACATACATACTATGCATATAATTAGCCTATAGTTTATACAATAACATTGAACACCCAAGTTATTTTCAACTTTAACACTCTACACATAAAGTTCAAATTCCACCTACTAATATTCAAAATCTTATTAACTTAAACTATAACGAATTCGAGGTCCGTTTTCGCAAAAGCATATTTTATTTATAATTAAATTGTATGTTACCATAAAATTCTATACTTAGTATGTTTTATAAAGAATGTATATTTTATATACAAAAATTGGAGTAAAAACTTTATGAAGCCAACTCTATTTGGATGAATGAATGCTATAAAAAATAAATGAAAACTACTTACTTTAGCGCCATTTTATAATTTTGTTGAAAAGGTTATATTGAGAGTATAAAGTATAATAAAATTATTTCTTTTGAACATCAATTCCAGTAGTTTCAGGAAAACATTGATAAAATGCACATTTAAGTTTATTAGGCCATTCTACAACAATATATGTATGCGAGAAAATCCCTAATAACATCGACTTTACATATGCCTCGAAGGACCATTTTAAATAAATGATCCTTCGAGTCAGATTAAATTATCTGCTGGTTTAAACAAGATTCTCTATACAATCGCTATCGTTTCAAATCTAAAAAAAATATAACAATGACATATCAAAGCGCTTTGTCACGTGATCAGAATATGTCATTCACATATTATTTTTTCTATTAGCGACATCGATTATAGAAAGTCATTGTATATCATTGTTCAATATCAATCAAATACTTAATTAGCCCAAGCCATAACTATTTTGGAGAATGGCACAAACAAAGCAGTGTTTTGTGGTGGCGTTAGGAAGTATCGGCGGCCGTGGTAGGTGCCGTCGTTGCGGGGCAGCCCCGGGTATTGGGTGCAGGAGAACTCGGCGCCCACAACGATGCCACTGGTGGCAGCGGTGCCACCTGCTAGACCTACATATCTGTAGGGAAAAAATTATACATGGTCAATAAGGAATATGCGTAATTTTCGAAGTTATACTTCTTTAGCACGTTTGAAAAAAATATTAGACATGATGAAGTTAGCTACATTTTTTTTACAAACAGAAAGTTGTGACATACGGGATGAAATCTTTAGCTATTTTTGTTATATACGCACGTAAGAAGTTATACTTTCACACAAATTGTGTTCTTACGTGCGTACATAAGTACACGCACACACATTTTTTTTTATTATCTATACAATAGTTAACATCGTAATATAATTGTAAAAAAACATCCAGCGCCAAAAAAAAACTAAAATTTAGTTTTTTTTAATATCCTACCGATACGGATACTTTAAACGCCCGCCATTTCGCGCGCTTAGCGTGACGTCACAGTATCATACATAGAAAAATGACAACTTTAGTTTGAAGCGAAAAACTCGCTAATAACTCAGTTATGATAATACTTTGACGTCACATTCGGTCTGACAAATAACGCGCGTTTCAACTACTTTTAATTTCCCATCTATATTTGCACTTTTTAATAATTATTTTCTTGATCAAAAAGAAATTACATTAAAAATATGGATATAGGATTAATTCAAAAGCAATAAAGATTATAAAAATATATATGTTACATTTATTTAATATTAATTTTTGATTGAATAAATAGAACTGCGAGTCTGATAAGCGAAGTGATAATTGTACTATATCAGTCTTAATTAATTAGGGATACTAATACAAAAACTTTATATTACACTAAGTTAAACACTAGGTACATTTTAAATAGATATAAATAGTTATTAGCCACTAGCCAGCGTTAGCCATATAATTTTTTTGTTAATAATATTGACAAATATTGACAGTAAAATTTATACGATACTAACTTCATTCAATTGTTTTGCCTTCACGGAACCTCTCCACGAACACTTAAACTTTATGGTATGATATTAAAGTTCAAATTGACTTTTAAGTATTATTACGAATCTTTTGTATGGGAGTATAGAAAAGTATTTTTTCTCTTCTTCTCACCTGCTTTTCCGTAAGAACAGTTTTATTAAAAAATTAAAAGTTCTTCTCAAAGCTTATTTGAATCATTTTATTTGATTTTATAAAGTTAACAGTTAAGTGATCATAGTTAACAGAAAAGTTAATAGAATGAACAGATAAGTTATTACAGTTAACATATAATTTATTATAGTTAACAAATAAATAAGTACCTGACACGTCCCACAGCGAGCCGCCCCTGCGGCGTGATCAGCTTGACGACGTGCCCGAGGCGCAGCTGGCGCGCCTCCGTCGGCAGGTAGGGCTGCCCCGGCGGCGCGCGCGCCTCCGCTGCGGGGGGCACCGTACCACTTGTTACTTATTGACAACATGTGGCTCAGTTTATAGTGACCATTCTTGCTGTGCCAGCGGACGGGGGTTCGAGTCCCGCAGGGAGCATTCATGTGTATGATGAGCACGAATGTTTGTACTCCAATCATGGGTGTTTATATTTATGATATGTATGTATTTAAAGTTATATATGTGTAGTGTTTCAACTATCTGGTATCCATAACACAAGCCACGTAGCTTACCATGGAACTAGATGGCGCTGTGTTATTGTCCCAACATATTTATTTATTTTATTTATTAGCATACTATTTTTACCTCCAACAACTACTACAGGCTAAAATTGCCTATTATATTGTATGATTGTATGTAATGTGTATATAAGTATTAGACTGACTGTCAAGCGAAGAGGAGCGCAGGTTGTCTATGGAGCGGCGCAGGAACAGCTCGGTCTCGTGCAGCAGCTGGTCGGTGTCGCGCACGTCGGGCAGCGAGCCGCGCCACGACATGCCTGCGATTTATATAGCATATATTGATATTACTGTCTCGGTGGTATAGTGGATAGCATGTACGGTTGCACATCAAGTGGTCCTGGGTTGGAATCCCGGGTCGGGCCAAGTTTAGTTATTGAGTTGCTCTGTATCTCACCGGTATATGAGAGAGACAGGGATAGACAGTGCACTTGTGTCTTCGCTCTCTCTCACACTCTGCACTATAATATCTCCTGCGCAGTTGGCTAGTCTCAATGAGACTAAATGTTCCTTGATGAGACTGGCCGCGCGTGGCCGAAGTCGATCGAGAGGTCAGTATTATTGATATCATATTATCTTATACTAATATACTAACTACTATATAGTATATAGCTAATCTATAATACCAAATTAAGTAAAAATATATAAAATTGAAATACCTGTTTGTAATATCAAAATAGCAACTTTTTACTTAATACATATGAAGGTATATAATATGGTACTTATAAGCAAAAAACAATATCCGTTGTTTCGGGAAATCTCCGAATCGGCTAGACCGATTTTAATGGAATTTTCACTGGCAGGCAGCTGTTACAAGTAACTTAGGCTACTTTTATTTTGTAAAAGAATTAGAATTTTGCACAGAAAAAAAAATATGAACCATCACAACCGAGGGAAGCGAAGGAAAGTCGCTAATATTATAATAATAAATTTAATAAATAAAAGTTCATTTAAAAAGAAATGCTGTTATTTATTTGCCGACTAATTGATATATTTTAATTTACCTTTTATAGTTGATGCATTAGTTTGTGTAGTCCAATCATTGCTGCGGTCGACGCTGAGACACGGCGAACGGTAACGATAGCTGTAATAATATAAATTCAATATCAAAATGAATATCTAAAAATTTATTATAAAACTGGTTTATTTATTCTAAAATAATTTAAAAATGAAATGAAATGAAAATATTGAATGAAAACAGCTTTATATACCTATATTAATCAGACGTTAGTAAATTGTAAAAAAATATTTATTTTAGTTTTTTTATTTAGTATTAAATATACCTAGTTAAGTTGGTTAACGCTCATAAATATAGATTATAAATAAAGCGAAAAATATATTTACCGAGATACAGGCGATTGTGACTGATCGTGAGTAGTCGAAGGCGGTCGGCGTTGAGTCCAGAGGGGCTCTGCTGACCGAGATAGCTCCGGGACCATTGATGTGAATCCTGTAAAGTAAAATATGTTTAAAATTTCAACAAAATTAGAAAAAAAAAAATAGAAAAAACGTGTGTGTGTACTTACACGTGTAAATTCTTAGGTTTTAAATATTCTTTTCTTTTTCTTTTTTCTTTTTAATTTCTTACATTGAAGTTTTTGTATTTTTTCTCAGAAATTAGACATTTTCCCGCGGTAAAAAGTATCCTATATGTTGACCCGGATAACCAGCTATCATCGTACCAAATTTCATCAATATCCCTCCAGTGGTTTTCCGTGATGTTATAACAGACAGACAGATAAAAATTCTAAAAACAATAGATTCGGCCTCTGTATCGCTATTAATGTCTATTTTAATAATATTTTCCAAAAAATATTTATTGTACAGATTCGGCTTAGTTACAACTTCATTATATATATAGATGTTACGTCCCATATGTTACAACTCTCTGTTTGTAAAAGGAATGCAGCTAATAATTACTCTCATAATTTTTTCCAAACGTGCCAAAAGAAGTATAACTTTAAAAAGTCTTTTAACTTTAAGATTTTCAAGTACCGTGAACAATGAACATACCGATATCACTGAGCAGTACCCGCCGGGCCTCGTCGGAGCGGCGCGCGGGCGCGGGCCGCGCCTCCGCCGCCGCGGGCCGCCGCGCCGCCGCGCGCTGCGGCAGCGTGGGCGCCGCCGTCGGCATCGGGGCGCTCATCTAGGTTTCATGAAATGTAATAGTCAATATTTAATACTATTAATTATTATGTAAAATATCTAGAATTTGATAAAACAGAAAATTAGAACCTCTTTTAGGTTAGATAGAGCTGGGTTAAATTATTGTCACAAGCTACTCGATTCGTTTCCTTTGTGCCAATAACATTAATTTCTCTCCACACTGGCCCATTGCGGCTTAGCGGATTTCACATGTCTTTTGAAATTGGTCAGGTTCTCTCAAATATGCAGGTTTATTCACGACGTTTTCCTTCACCGTAAGACAAACGGTAATCACGTTGAAAATAATTCGCGAGACCAGGTATTTTAACCCGCTTCACTTGGTTTTCCAAGAAAGCACGTTACTATTTAGCTACCACTGACTCAATTAAAGACATTTCAACAATAATTAAAGGCAATATTTTTCTTCTACAATCGCATTTAATATACAATCAAATCTTATTCATATTCGACAAGCAGTCAGCCAGATGTGATTTCCCATCGGTATTATAAACAGAAACTTAAACGTAAATTTACATATTTCTATTTTCAGACTCATTTCCATATAATCTCGCATCGCTTATTTCATCCTTGTAGGGCCTATACGAGATGAATAAGATCATGAAATAATTCAATAACAATATTTCCTTAATGCTCAACTGCGCAGTTATAGTCCAATGATAACGCACAAACCAATTGAAGCCGGTTAAAAACCTCGCAAGTTTTCAAATGTGTGAAGTCCACTAAACCGCACTTATTACGATATATTGAAGGAGTAGCAGGAGGACATTAAAAAAAGGATAGAATACAACAATGCTCAACTTTGTTTCCCAAGCGAGCGCGTTACCACTGGGCTTTTTTTTTTTTAACGTTGGGAAATGCATTTACGCACGAGGTGTGGGACTCACCGGCAAAGCCAGTACTACCCACTAAAACCCAACAAAACCTTCCCCCGTCTTAATGGGGCGTCGCAGGATCGCTTATGCATTCAACTACGACGCCCCGACGGCAGGTCTGCCGAAGCAGACCACAACAACCACGGGGTTGCTCCACAGTCCACTCTGCTATCAGAGAAGTACCAGGAGCAACCTGCATGGTACACTGCCCTCTGAAGAGGGCCACCTCCCACCGCCCACCGAAGTGGGCCACCTCCCTGTGCGTTTCTTGGCTTCGCGCCCGGTTGGGTTGCCGGGCACTACTGAGCCCCCCCACCACGACAAGGTGAACGCACGTTGGGGGGGACCACTGGGCTACCACTGCCTTAGTGAAGCGAGTTCAAATCCCTTGTCTCGCACCTCTGATATTTTCATGTGCGAATCATTTCCAACATGATTACATGACAACTTGTCTTAACGGTGAAGGAAAACATCGTGAGGAAACCTGCATGTCTGAGAGAACCTAGCAAGTTTTCAAAAAAAGACTTGTGAAGTCCGCCAAACCTCACTTGGCCAGCGAGGTGGACTATGGCTTGATTCCCCTCGTACTGAAGAGAGGCTCGTGCCCAGCATTGGGACATTAAAAAAGGGCTGAATACAAGATACAACTTTGTTATACATAAAAACTGTTGTGCGAAATGTGTTTCTAGGGCCTATATATCTAACGTACCTAAATCTAAGTCTCAGAAACAGAATTTTCAGTCATGATTAGTACTAGAAAACCTACCTTATAAGCTAAATATCCATCAGATGTCCATCTATTTGGCAGTGCGGAGACGTCAGTTTGCGCGGAGCTCTCGCGTCGAGGGGCCAAGCCCTGGTAGAGCACCGGGCGGGCGCGCCCCGACGCTTTGTATCCTGAACGTACTCCTGTACGACTTAGTGGAGGCCTATAGAAACATAATAATTTAATTTTATAGGTAAGATACGTTTATTTTATAGTCAGAGAGCCCTAAGCCATTTTTAGTGACCCAAACTTAATTCTTATTAGTAGCTTTGTAACGAGATGACTAACTTTTCCTAAACAGTTTAGTACTGTCCAGTCTATGTAGAAAAAAAATCCGGCAAAATCATGCTATGGTAAATATGCTATGGCGAAATAAATAACAAAATAAACAAAAAAAATATATAAAAAAAAGTTAAAATGACAAGAATTTTAAGAAATAACAAAAGATATGTGACGGTACTGAAACTTACCTATACTGGAATGGATTGGGGCAAGTATTCCTCCTGACATTCAAATTGCTCGCGAGATCATCTTCAGATATTCCGCATTTGGATATGTCTGTTTCCGCGAAAACCGAAAACCGATGACCCATCCTTGTTCTATGGAAACTATCCACACTTTCCTCTCTGTGAAGAACATCAAAACTCGAGCCAAGATCGTAGCTCGAAGATTTCGTATTATCAAAACTTAGGCCACGATTGTATTCGCCAGTAAGACTGTCAACACTATCCAATCTCCTCGTACTTGCGTTCGGACTTTTTCTATACAACATATTATCAGACTTGTTGTCATAACTCTTTAAAATCCCTCTTCCAGGTAATTCAAGAGTGCCTTTCTCATTGAAGCCGACCTGTTTTATTTCTTTGTCATTTGGTAAGGACACTCTCTTCATTCTCAAAGAATGTTCTGTGTAACATGGCGTATTTTCTTGGTTCTCCTTTCTGCCGCTATTAGTCTCCCTCCCTGGTTGAAAGTCCGGGTCTAGCGTATGGAATTTGATTAAAACGGGCGTTGAATGTGGTGTTGATGCTGAAGCAGGTGTCCAATGATCAGTTTCTCGTATTGATACGAGATCCTCCTGTAAATGACACCGATTTTAAACACAGACCTTTTTACTCTACTGCGGCCTAGCCCAAAGGAGGGTTATGTATTTCATTTTATTACTTATATGAGCATAAATCTTGACTAATTTTCAGTCAATTAGTTTTGTACATGTAAAAAAAGATTGGTATAATTTGATATATCAATCTGCTACACTTCCGAAACACTAACTATTGATAAACATGCTTCCGTTTTATTCGATTCACCATAAAATCTAGTATTGTTGAAACAATACTGGCATTCCAAGTTGCAAAATTTACGGCTTGAATAAATTGGAGCGATACATGGGCACTCGAATACGAAACTGATGTGGTATTCGCACGCAATCAACTTGAACAAAATCTATTATTTCGTGTTTGTAAATTGCTCTCTATAATTTTATCAACCCTTTATCGTGATGGTTAATGGAAATAGGATATATTATAGGGACTTAATCAAGCAAAACGTTGGGTTAAAATTACAGTTTTAAAATTAAAATTAACGATGGATAAATGTTAATGCTTAAAACACTTTTAATTTTGTGTAAAATATTTCAGAATAACTAAACAATAATTAATCTTTTGCCTTTAGAATTGGCCCTTTCGAACTTGTATCATATATGTAATCTGCTGAAATATATGATACATAACTTAAAGAAATCTACAATAAAACAATATAAAAATATTAAAACTAAAAAAAATTGAGATGAAGCGCTAAAATGGACTTTACCTGCAAATTGCTCATATCCTTAGATTCATCCGTTGTAAATATAAGTTCTATATCGTCGACTTCCTCAGACTCGTTGCCACTTGCGTTTTCCTGATCCTGTTTATCATCAGGTGCACTGTTGTGCTCTAACGGCGTAGTTCCTTCGGAGAACACTGAATTGTCCCCTTCCGACATCGATCTATGCACCAATGTCAGTTAAAAAAAACGAAAAATATTTATTTTAATATTAATACATACGTAGTCCAATTTTTCATGCTATTTAAAATTTTCAAATTATTTGTTTTATGTAAATGTGTGCTTTAATTTCATTATCTATACTTTAATACCAACTGTATAACTTTTCCGCAAATATAAATACACAAGCCATTTAATAAGTCAGCCTATATTCGTTAACCTGCTAAGTGTATTTTTGCACAGAAGAAAAAACTGAATTGTATCATTTCATTTTTAGAAATCAAAATCCTGAAAATACCGTTGGTTATTTGATATTTTTCTAACCTTTTTAACCGACTTTCAAAAAGGAGGAGGTTCTCAATTCGTCGGAATCTTTTTTTTTATGTATGTTCACCGATTACTCGAAGACGCCTGAACCGATTTGGAAATATTATTTTTGTTTCAAAGGGTATACTTCTCAGGTGGTCCCATATAAATTTTATCAAAACCGGTCGAGCGGTTTTTAAAAAATCTACTTTAATTATTTTTTTAATAAATTGTTTAATCGAATATGTTATTAAAAAGCTTTCTTCTTACAAATTACCTGCTTATTACGTCTACACTAAAAATTGAAACATAAAATTTAAAAAGAAAACGACTTTTTCGTTTAGAATAGATACCTAATCAGATATTTTCGAAGTCTGTGCCAGCCGACAATATTTTAAGATATTAATATCTAATAGGTAAATATGTATTTTACGTATCAAAATATATTAGATTTGCTTTTTATCGGCTGGCACCGAATTCGAAAATATCTGATTAGGTATCTATTCTAAATGAAAACCTCCGTTTAATTATTTTTTACATTTTAGTGCCTGGAAGTCGGTTTTTATTTTATTTTATTTTTTAAAGTTTTTATTGTATTGATATCATCGCTATTCCTTTAACATAATGTAGGTAATCGTCTAAACTTTTTGACAGGCATTAAAAGTAAAATTGCTCAAAAACGGACTTAGCAGGTTACCAAAATAGGCCGACGTTATATATTTAAGGCCTTTTGATATTTTCTTTGTAAATAATTTCGCAGGTAGATAGGTAGTAGATAACTATGCGTCTCTTTCGTAATTTATTTATGTCATTTATTTATTTTTGATCTTAAAAATGAGCTTAGTATTATTTATTACATATTGTTATGTTTTTGTTTCACTTACTTTAAACTTAGGTTGTCCACATCCAAATTCATGGTTTCTTTTCGTCTAGCTCTTTCGTGTTTATCTTGAAGCACGAGACTATCTTCAGATGTTATTCGAACTTGAACATCGAATTTATCAGTTTTAGATTTCACTTCCGCCTCATTTGGTACTGCCATTTTTATATTCTCAGATGATATTGATTTTAAATGAATTTGATCTCCTTTAGGATTTTCGAAATTTTCGAAATGTTCTTTATGCTCTTCGAAATGAATGCTTGTTTTCGATTCACTAGACTTTCCAGTCGACTTCTCCTTCCTTTCCTCAGTAGTAGAATCAGTTTCAGATGTAGTACTTGAAATAACAGTGCCTTCTTTCAAAGTTTTGACTTTAATTCTCACGTCGAACTTCGACAGCAATTCCAGCTTTGTTTTAAAACTTGGGACGTTTACATCCGATTCCTCTTTAGAAACAGAAACTTGACTTTCAGAATCGTCAATGTTTGGGCTGCTAGTAACATTGGGCGAGTTAGAATTTTCTGATATAATTGATTCAGATTTGGACTCTTCAAGTATTTCTTCTAATTTTTCAGTTGATTTGTCCTTGTTTTCCAAAGTGTTTGGTTCTAAATCCTCAATAGCATTACTATCAGTAGTAGCTGTTTTTATTAAAACTTCACTTTCTTCTACCTGAGCACTTGGACTATAAGAAAATTCTAAATTTATATTCCTCTTAGGATTGCTACTTTCTACACCACCTGAATCGATTATTTTTCTTCGCAATATATGATTCTCTAAAGTCAATTTTTCTATAATATCAGCATATTCTATGCAGCGCGAGTGCTCTTGATATTTTTCTTTTAGTTCTTTGAGTTCATTCTTAGAAATTTCAAGCGCAGTCCTGAGCGATACTACTGTCTGATGTAGCGATCTTACAGTGTCCAAGTGCATGGTCCCAGGAGGGACTGTCTCCAACCTACCGTTGTCCATTCCACCTTGTTACCTTCATTCCATCGAACGTGCAAGATCCCATACATGACTGTTGCTATTTCAATCACACTTCAATGCACAATCACTGGTTTCTCCATAGCGGAAAAAATCCATCAACCCTTAAAGTAAAACTGAGCTTTACATTTGAGTTTAATAAATGTTTATATATCTAATAACTTAATTTAAGACACAAAACTTACCGATCGATCATTTCGTTAAAACAACCAGCACGCATAGTGGATTCGCCGCGCATTTTTAGATCCCTATCGAATTACTGGCTCATAGATTTCACGTAAAGGGATACGAGGGATGTGCAATCGATAAAGCGGCTTGCTACGCGGATAATTAGGCTTTTAAGGCCCTCAAAACTTCGCTCGGGGCGAAGCTCAACTGGCACGATTTACTGATAAACAACTTTAGCACGTAAAGAAGTAATTAAGTCAGGATATTATCACGATCGTTTTGACAAGGTTGAGCGACCTACCTATAGCATTGTATACTAGAAAAGTCTCCCATTTCGCTCCTTGTAAACAAATCAATACTCCTCAATTTGGTGTTCGCGGGCGTGTGGGTAAATAAATAAGAGGATATTGTTTCCTCTTTCTGACAATGTCACCTTGACAGGTTTTTATTTCGTTCAGGAATATTATATGTTATCAAATTAATATATGATTGTATTATATTTATAGTTTTACGTACATTTTTAAAACTTCTATAAATTCTTTGATTACTTAGTAAAAATAGAGAGTGCGGAAAAGGAAATAATATGTACTGGTGCACGAAATAAATTTAGTCGCATTTCAGAACTAAATGTCAAAAATTAAAATCATAAATGACTTATGACATAAACTTCTAAATTCTATTTTTTTAATTTTCTAACCTACAAAATATTTTCAAAACAGTGCAAGTTATTTATATGCATTGATAATGTATAATATCACTAATATCATAAAAAATGCTCCGATAAACACTTGTTCCGTTTTACAAATAAGACTGAAATCAAAAACACACTGGGTAATTAATTTATCATTATCACAAACTATATTTATATAGAAATTAATATATTATAGTATGTCTAATTTTTAGGCAAAATTAAAGAAAAAAACAGGACCGAAGTATAAAGCTTTAAATCATTTTGATGATTTCTATGGCTCTGTTTTTGGAAATCAATGGGAACCTATGCGAGAAGCTCTTTTAAGAAAATCAAAATATGTTGCTGTAGTAAATAATTATGGTGATACAGAAGATACAATGGAGTATCTCTCTAACAGAGGTATATAAAGTTATGCTAATTCTATGCTTAACCTTTATTTAATATTTATACTTTTCTATATAGATCTCAATGAATAAATGTAGTTAGTGATAACTACAAATCAGTGCACTTTAGTAAATATTTTTTCTATAAGTAATAAATTGAAAATTATTTTAGGAGCTCATTGTCTTAAAAGTTTAATGAAAATACAGAAACATTTTCATGACCAATATTCACCACCAATAGAAAAGCCTGAATCTATAAATAAAAATGTATTAGAAAACTATGTAACAAAATTGCAAAATGAAGAAATATCAAGTATATATCCTCAAGGTCATTATGTGCCAGATAAATTAGAATTAAGTGATAGTAAAACATTACAAAGAAATCAGGAGGAAGAAGACCCATCTTCGAATGATATTATGTAAGTTAAAGTTCCTTATGGCCTGCCTTATGATACTAAATCAAATAAAAAAATAATAATTACATAAATTATTATAGCAATAATTAGTTTTAAGATATAATGTACTCCTGGCCGATTTTGGCCCACGGAGGCCAATCTTACTGAGACATAATAGTGCACAAGTTATGTGTAGACACAAATCCACTCTCTATTCCTTTTACTCTTGAAGTTTGATGACCCAACACTTCGACACTCGTGGTGAGAGTTAAGGCATAGGACTGACGCGACACATGTTCTCGGAGGCACGGGTTTGAAACACCACAAACTGCTTGACAGAAATACTCAATAACTGAACTTGGCCCAACCAGGGACTGAAACCCAGGACCTCTGGTGTATATGCTAGCCACTAGACCACCGAGGTAGTTTTTTTTTTAAAGATATATAACTAAATAAAAAAAACAAATTACAGCAGTCCTTCAACTTATACACTTGATCAGGCAATAGAAGATGCAAAAATTGATGAGTCTAGGATAATTCAACCTTCCATGGGTTTATCATCAGAGGCACTATATCAATTTGTACCGGCAACAAAATTGAAAGGGCTTGATGAATGGGTGCCAGAATCTTTGCACTATTCCTTTTATACTAACAGTAAGTAGTATATTGTATGTTAATAAGGAATATTTTTATATAGTTATTTAAATTTAGAGAGAATGTTAAAGAAGAAATAATCAATTCATTTTTCATTATTGGCATTCATTATTGACATTGGACTGTGGACATATAATAATAAAAATCTTTATTGTACCCCCTTATAAAAAGAGAAAATATATATTTTGATTAGAAAGTAAAAGAGCCATCTTTGAAACCAAAACTATCTAACATAAAGTCAATGAATATGAAATAAAACCAAATACATTAGTATTTGGTTTCATTTCATATTCATTGACTCATTTCATTTCCACTAATGTATATACAGATAAATAAAATTAAGGTGTTAATAATGTCAAAATAATACCTTTTTACTAAATGGATATGAAATTATATACAGTACTTATAAGAAAAACATAATTTTTAAAAATTTTGTCTGCCTTTCTGTCTGCTTATTCTGGCTAATCTCCGAAACGTCTGGACTGATTTTGACGGGACTTTCACTGCCAGATAGCTGATGTTATAAGGAGTAATTTAGGGTACTTTTATTTTAGAAAAAAAAATTAGGGTTCTGCTCAAAAATTTCACAAAAATTAAAACATACCTAGGGACGCACCCAAGCGAAGCAAGGGTAAATCGCTAATATCATCTATAAAATAAATTATATTAAGCCTATTATTGTTGCAATCCATTTTTTATTACGTTTTGCAGAAGAAACAGATTTTCCACTAGTTATTGAACCTGAAACAGAATTTAAATATCCAGAACATTTGAAAGTGATGACATTTGAGATGAACAGTGATTATTACAGATTTCCAGAACCAAAAAGATGCAAAACAGGTAAAATTTGCCAACAAATCTAAACTTCATAAAAAAAGTATTTTGTTATTGCCACATCCTACTAATATAAAAAAATGTAAATGTGAAAGTTTGTGAGGATGTATGGATATCAGGTTGTATAGTCACACAAAACTACTGAATGGATTTTAATGAAACTACAATAATATAGCTCATACATCAGAATAACATATAGGCTACTTTTTATCCCGGATAAATGTACGGTTCCCGTGGGATAGATTGTTTTTTTTTTTGAGTCACTAGTTAGAATATATTACTTTTTGTACCAGGTTAATGGGTTATTATGAGAATGAGAAGCATTTTTTATATGATATTAAAAATAACCTATCAATGTCTCTCTAGTTCATAAATTATTTACATTCACATTTAAAATATAAGTAAAGTTGTTTATAAACCCCTAAAATATTCTTAATTTTCAATTCAATTGAATTCTCTCATTAATGACCTCATGAGTATGCCTGTTAAAGACTGTATTGCCAATGTAATGTTATATTGAATGGAGAGAACATGAATGAGATTGGTTGGTAAAATTAGATTATTAAATTACGTCTAAGAACGGGAGTAAAACCTTTATAAACCCTGAACCTACAACAAAAGACAACACATTAATTTTGTATCCATTACTATTAAAAGTGTCAATGATACTTACACTCTTGATAAATGATACTTTCAATCTTGATAAGTGATACTTACACTCTCGATAAGTGATACACTCATAATAAGTGATATTTACACTCTTGATAAGTGATACTTACACTCTTCATAAGTTAAACTTACACTTTTGATAAGTTATACTTACACTCTTGATAAGTGATACTTACACTCTTTATAAGGTTGAAGTTTTTTTTATTATGATAAATTTTACTTGTTTGTCTCTTTGCTGTCGCAATCTAACATCTCTCTTCAATACACAGAACCTACCTTCACACGATTTCGATTCGCACTTGACCAATATTTTTTTAATTATATTATTATATCAACATACTAAATTCAATAAAGGTTTTTCTATTACTTTCCAGGTGTATTTAACTACTACCCAATGGATTGTAGTAGTGTGCTTTCGGTATTGGCCCTCTGCCTGTCTCCCGGGGACAGGGTGCTAGACATGTGCTCTGCGCCCGGGGGCAAAGCCCTGGTCGCCTTGCAGACTTTGCTACCAGATGTACTGGTGTGCAATGATGTATCTATATCGAGATCCAATAGGTATGTTGTTTTTATAATATGGTCTTCTTTAATTTAAGCGTAGATTATATATATTTTATTTGTTATTGGTAACACCCCTATACCGCATCCCACCATACATATTTTGCATATTACTAGATATGTAGATATTCGCATTTAAACTATATTTACATATATACAGGATATAAATAAGCAAAAAATCGACTTTTTTAATAAAGATAATATCTATTATAGTCAAGTCAGCCATATAAATATGTAACTTCTTTTCTAAAGTATATTATTATTTTTAATTTAATAAACTTAAACTAATCACATTAATGTTCCAGTAAATTTATATCTTCTACATTTCTGTATAATTTTTTATGTATTTTTTCTTTTTTATATATAAAAGGATAACAAGAATATTCCGCGACTATCTAATAGATTATGAAGTTGGCAACAAGTGGCAGGAGCGCGTCTTAATATCGAGAGTCGATGGACGATCATTCACTGACGACCGCGGATTTGATAAGGTATTTGTTTATGCATATTACATATAATATGTCCCACATGTATATTTTTGATATAGGTATTTTGTGTATACGCTTGAGACCAAGGGATCAAGTATAATAATTAAATTAGTTCAAATAAATGTCGATAGATGGCGTAATGCGCATGCACTTATATTTATGTTTAAATAAAATAAAATAATCTAATAAAAAGGGCATAACTCATGTTAATGTTATGAAAACTCAAGTTTATAAGTGTTATTGTTAGTATTCAAGATGCGACGGATTTGAATGAACTTCTGAATAGACAAATTATATACCAGATGAATGTAAGTAAGAATCTTATATATAAAATTTCCATGTCACAATGTTTGTTACCGTACTCCTCCGAAACGGCTTTACCGATTTTTACCAAATTTTATATGCGTATTCAGTAGGTCTGAGAATCGGCTACTATCTATTTTTCATACCCCTAACTGATAAGGATAAGGGTGGTCCTCCCAGACCCCACCCCAGGGACGAACCCGAGCGGAGCGAGGGTGAGTCGCTAGTATATTTATAACTCACACTCTTATTATAATATAATTTGCAGGTATTAGTAGATGTGCCGTGCACGACAGACAGACACTCTGTGATGGAGGACGAGAACAACATATTCAGACCGGACAGAGTTAAAGAGAGATTGAAAATACCGGAGCTTCAGTCACAATTATTGGCGTATGTTTTTTTAATAATAATTAAGTTATTGAGGATGAAAGGTGATTTTAGATAAAAAAATATATATTCTTTAAAGATCATTTCACCAGTTAGAGATATAACATACAAACAAATTTTACTGTTTATAGTGTGTAAGATATTATATTAACGTTTAGAATTCTTTTGGCAAAGTTACATAAACTAGGTTGTTTATAACCTTCCTCAATAAATAGAGTAACCTAAAAGCCATAAAAAAGGCAGTAGTAGCTCAGTGGTAGCGCGCTCGCTTGGGAAACCGAGTGAAGCGGGTTCAAATCTCACACCTCTGATATTTTCATGTGCGAATCATTTCCAACATGATTACCACTTGCCTTACGGTGAAGGCAAACATCGCGACAATACCTGCGCGTTTGTTAAAAAAAGTACTGAATATGAAAGCCATGAGTTAAAGAATAATAATAATAAATAGACTAAAAAGGAAAAAAAAAAACAACAACTCATACCCGTCTACTGCAAAACGTATGTAAACCTCCTTAAAATTAAAATTCAGTATACGTCAATCTTCTCACTTGTAGTAGGGGAGCCCAAGAGGGGATTTCCTGTAGTTACTCGAGCGCGGCAGATTAACATAAAAGAGGTTACCTTGCACTCTATTGAGTACTTTCACCACAATATAAGTCTTCTATATAAAGGGGCGCGTCTAGGGAAGCCGATTAAAATATTTAAAAAATGTTTTGATAAGGTAGAAATACTTGAAAACGTCAGATTAAGGTGTGGTAGGCTAGTCACATCCTGAAAAGTGTCCAATTCAATAATCTGCCGATTTGCACAAGCCGAAGAGGCAAAAATCGACTATAAAGTTTATGATGATTTTTGCCTCTTAGGCTTGTGCAAATCGGCAGATTATTAAATTGGACACTTTTCAGGATGTGACTAGCCTACCACACCTTAATCTGACGGTTTCAAGTATTTCTACCTTATCAAAACATTTTTTAAATATTTTAATCGGCTTCCCTAGACGCGCCCCTTTATATAGAAGACTTATATTGTGGTGAAAGTACTCAATAGAGTGCAAGGTAACCTCTTTTATGTTAATCTGCCGCGCTTGAGTAACTACAGAAAATCCCCTCTTGGGCTCCCCTACTATTGTATTGAAATACCAATATTGAATACGAAGGAAGGGTACCGATAAGGCTTCATTTCCACCCCCGAATAAAGAAAATAAAGTCATATGATTTGATCTTGTCATTATATATTCTAAAAGTAGACTGTGTGCTAGAAAATATATTTATGAGAGAAATTTTTTTTACAACGAATACTACTTGTGAGACGCGAAACTTTGGTCTAACTGGGATTAATTCAGATTAGGATATTAATCAAGATTTCTTAAGTTTAAACTCTAAGAAAGGTTTTTAGAAAAATCACACTCAATGTACAGTAAAAAAACCATAGTAAAAAACGTCATGACAAAACCGGAAAACCTAGTGGCGCCATCGTGTGTTACTCACAGCATACAGCCAAGTATTAAAATAAAATTTAGTTGAATAGGATTTTAGTTAAATAAAAAAAAAAAAACGAAAACAAAACTTATGTAAAGAAATTAAAAATACATATTGACAATAAATATATTAAATAAAACATCGAAAATCTAATCATCCTATATTTAATATTAAAGTATTTATTACTAAATTTAAAGTTAAAACTTGATATCATAATTTGAATTACAATTACAGTAAATTAAATTTATACTTAAAGCCACTTCACTCTTATTCCGAGTTCTAATCGATGAATTCAAATTCAAAATATTTTATTCAGCATTAAATTATTACAATTTTTACTGAACGTCATGAGTCTACTACCAGTTCGGAAAGAAGAAGCCTGAGAAGAACTGGCGAAAAAAACTCTGCGGGACTAATATTAATTGTTATCTTTGTTTTTGTTAGTAGATAAAATAGTTTGAACTACCCGCAAAATATTTTTTTTTAATTAAGTATTAGCGGCCCGTTTACAAAATAACGTACGTAAAACTAATGTTTCTCAGTAAATGAATTGTATTCTTTTGAGAAATAAATGAATCTTAAACCTCATGTCGATGTGCCACAGCAACGCGCTGCGGCTGGTGCGCGTGGGCGGCGCCGTGGTGTACAGCACGTGCTCGCTGAGCCCGGCGCAGAACGACGGCGCCGTGCGCGCCGCGCTCGCCGCCGCCTTCCGCGACCACAACATTATGGCCTCCGTCAGGTGAGATTGTTTTCGTACTAACATATACATGCTGCTTTATTTACTTCATTTCTTTGAAATCTTTCGTACGTCACCATTAAGTTCTTCAACTATTACTTGTACAATAGAAGGCTTATCGCAATCTTGCTGCTAGATTGATCCAGGAGCTCTGGGGCGGAAGCGTCCCTAAGGGGGAGTAAGAGTTTATTTTGTATAACTTAAAATTAAAATAAATAAAAATCGTGAAAATAATGTATTTTATTTTAGCTATTTGTGTAGCTATTAATTATAATACAAAATAAAATAAAGGAGACATGAAAATATAAATCGTTATAATTGAAAATTTAAAGTTAGGCCTTATTTATTATCTTACATTTACTTACAATAACAAAGCGATAATGCTATCTATTGACATTTATTTAAACTATTTTTTCTTTGTTTCCGATGAGGCATACTTTAAGTACCTTTACTTAATTTAAGTAAATCTATTCATTGTAAATAATATTATTACTAACGATATAACTAGCCATAATAACTTTAATTCAATTTAATTTCCTTGTTAATGGCTTCAAAGCAAGTATCTTAACGACTAACTTCATATTGTAATCTAAATTTGTTGCATCGTAAAAAAAATGCTTAATGCTTTTATCATTTCTTCCCTAACGTGCGAAAAGAAGTATATATTCAATAATAGAACTAATAATCAGATGTACTTTCAGAGACATGTCAGTGCCATTCAGCTCGCTGAGCAGCACGCTGCGGCTCGCGCGCGGCCGCGCGCTGCCTAAGTACGGGCAGCTGGTGGCGCCCGACGTCGCCGCCAACTACGGGCCCGCCTACATCGCGCGGCTTGTTAGACTCAAATAGATCACTTTATATAAGTTTTTGAACTTTCATAGTCACTGACAATGTTGTTATGATGTAAAACGAGGTATTTACTGTGTTTAGCACTTACTTCTGAGCAGGGCCGGATTCAACCTTACAACCGCCCCTGGGCATAGTAAATGCCGCCCAATTATCTAAATTTTGCATAAAATGAGTAAAGTTTTAATTATTATTTTTTTGAAAAATGCAAAAAAAGATAATAATTTATAAATTATTTCAATTTTTCGAAAAATGTACTAGTTAATTTTTTTAATTAATCACTTTTTGAAAAATAAAGAAAGTGTTTTCGATCGCAAAGAGATTTTTTTTCTCATACTCTGAGTTTTGCCGCCCCTAAAAATTTCCCGCCCTGGGCACTAGTCCCGCCCTAGTGTAAATCCAGTGCTGCTTCTGATAGTTCCCTATATTTCGGCACAGTACTGCACAAGTATACCTGTGACCATGGCGCTTGTAACGGTGCCGAAATATAGGAAACGCTCAACAGTAAGTGCTAAATATGGTAAATATCCCGTTTTACATCAGAGTAATAGTCCACTTTATATTGTTAATATTCTTCAGTGAATATGTATTTAAGCTGCCATAGCATTTTAGAAAACTGATTATAATATGTACCATCTACATACATAAATTAATAACATCACCCGGTAGCTAAAGGATCAAAGAATTCATTACATCGAGTGAGGACTGTGAAGCGCCGCCATTTTGAGGTCGTTTCGCTGCGTTACATAATTTCTTTTCTATAGAACCTATGATGTTTGTTTAGAGCTACAATTATTAGCTCTGGTCAAGATTTGTCGATTGCGTACATAAAAAAATAAACGAATTCACCTAAAATACCCGACCGTGTCCACGACACAGCCACACCTCAATTTTTTGTGTGTTTTCAATGCGTGTAGGTACTATTTTTTAATATTGAATTTTAACTTCTACATTATATCAAGCCATATATAATATTAAATATCGCTAAATTTATTTATAAGACGTCAGTTAAAAACATAACATGTCGTCCACACATTTAAACACCGTAGCAATTCAAAACGAAATGTAAATATTATATATAAAATTGTAGATTTATTAGTCAAATAAATATAAGACATTAAATCAATTTTGTTGCTTATTATTCATTTCCTAGATTAAAAATATATATAGTGTAGTTAACTAAAAACAATGCTTTACTTATGATTTGCGTTACGCGGAGTCCTTCTTTTTTTATAATCTGTAAAGGTAAAATAAAATTGTCTCTTGTATGTTTATGATTTATGACATTTATTAAATAAATAAGTACAAATTGTCTTTGGCAAGCGCACCGATATAAAGCTTTCGTACCTATATTATAAATATTATATATATATTTTAAATGCCTTAGAAATTCGTGTAAATGCTCAAAAATACAAACGTTATTAAAAGTTATATAAATGAATTATATTATTCAGTAATTATTTATTTAAAAATACATATTATATTAAAGTATAAAAGTCTTAAGAATAATTTTTTTTATAGCTTTTATAGTAGATATAAGTATAAAGCATTAAATATCAGTATAACTTGTTCAAATAAAAATATTGAGTAATGACGCCATTTTGTTGACGTCAGCCTTCAGTGACATCTTATCAGTCTAATATTGGAAAGTATATTTATTAAAAATTTACAATATTTTAAAGTTTTATATGATATGGGTAATATTTACCCACATTTAATTTTTAAGTACAATGCAATCAAAAGCAATTATCATTTTATAAAAAATAATCATTTATATATTACTAGAAATAGTTCATGTGGATTATTTGTTAGGTTAAATAATAATAGATAAAATTTTATTAATATTATGAAATATCTATTATAATGAAATAAGCGTAAACAGTAATATTAATATTGCGTTTTAGAAATTGTATATATGCCAAAAATATCTCATGATTTTTCTTTACATTATTCAAATAAACTTACAAGCATACATTTAATTAATTGATAAGCAACACCGACTTAAGTACAAAAATCCAATTAAGCTATATATTATTCACATACTTTATTTCACGTTTTGTTAATTAATATTATTTATTTTTATTTTTCTTATTATTATTATTAATTTCATATACATAGTTTCTTAGTAATAAAATATAAAAACTTTTTTGAAGTTATACTTTTTTTGGGATGTTTGGAAAAAATATCTGAGAGTAAAATTTTTACGATGCGCGCGCACACCGACGAGAGTTGTGACATACGGAATAAAGCCTTTAGCTATTTTTGTTCTGGTACGCCAAAGAAGTATAACTTCCTACGTGCGTACATAAGTACACACACACACGCGCTTTTTTATATGTAATTAAGCATAAGTATGAGATTATAAATAATTCACAAACTACCCTCAAAAAAGAAAATTTTAAACAAGAACTTTAACGTCACTTTTCAAGGGTTTCTCTTCAGGTTGGTCGTTTTCTTGCACATCATTCCACGGCTGCTGCTCGCCGGAGCCGAATATCATATAAACTATTATTTCTATGACGTACAAAGCAATCGTCACAAAAAATATCACCCGCCATGCTGAGATTGTTGGCTGAAAAATAAAATTGATTATTTATACTAATATTATAAAGTTTCTATTTGTTTGTTTGTAAGCGATAAACTCGGGAACTATTAATATGAATAAAGGTCGTAACATGAATCGGCTCGAAGGACCAATAATATATGAAGTAATACTTACATTGCCATGTGTCAAATATCCTACAAAAATAGGAACTACAATTCCAGGTATGGTTGCTATGGTATTTGTTAGCGCCATCAGTGTTCCTATAATAAATAATAAAAATTAAATAATATTTTTTTGTTAATAATGTTATTAGGTACTTAATAAATTTGTTCTTTTTTATTTTTTACTTGAACAATGGAACCCTTAAAATGTAATCATTTTGGTATTTTTTGATGCTAAAATAAAAATATATATTAAATTTCTGAATTAAATGATGATTCATCGCTTTCGAAATCTGTAACCAAGGATCGAACCTGCTTTCCTTGGTTTCTCATACTTTCGCGTTATCAATGAACAACTATTGCCTACCTTCGGAATTATTCTCAGTTTGTATAATATTATATTGGTATTGATATCCAATCCTCCAATTTAAATTTTCAATACGAACAATACAAGATGTATAATTCGTATGCGTCTCTAGATAAAATGTACTAGATACACAACCCCATGCAAAAGTTTTCATAAAACTGTCACCAATTGTGTTAGGTGATTTTTCTAGTCGAAAGTTATACAACAATGTAAATTGAACCTTAACTACAATGCTTAAAGTTCACAAAAAAATATTAAATTAAAAGCGCGCTCAAATGTTCAAATGAGCGCTCATTCGGTGAGGACATTTTTGTCGCTGATTGTGTATCTAGTACTCTTTGATTGTAAGTCTATTTGTGGTCCCTATTAAAATTAAACAAAAATACTGACCAGCAAAGTTAGGAGCAATATCAATGTGATTAGATAAGAAGCCACAGAACATGCCGCCTATGGCGGTGACGCCGACCGCCGTGAGCGCGACGGCCAGCGCGCGCGCGCCGCCCGCGTAGCACAGGCACAGCAGGCACGCCGCCGGCACCGCCGACGCTGGGAGAGAAACGATTCAGTGGAAGTTGTCTTTGTTATATCTCTCCCATATAATGAATAGTATAAAACAAAGTCGCTTCCCGATGTCTGTCTGTCCCTATGTATGTATCTTTAAAACTACGCAACGGATTTTGATGCGATTTTTTAAAAGATAGAGATTCAAGAGGAAGGTTTATATGTATAATACTTGCGTATTATAGTACAAAAAAACCGAGAAATTCAAAGATTTTTAATTAATACTAACCGTTAAAACGTACCTAGGGACGAACCCGAGTGAAGCGAGGGTGAGCCGATAGTTGATGTATAAAATATAGATATTATACAAAAAAATATATATATATATATATATATATATATATATATATATATATATATATATATATATCTTCAAAAAAATGGCGTCGACATGTGACGTTAAGTCTAACCTAACCAAGAATAAAGTTCAAAAATCGAAAATCCTAATTGTCTAAACACAAATTCGAATTTACGCACATCACAAAGTAGTTTTCAACTAAACCACGTGCATTTTAATGTTGTCATTCGAAAAGCAATGAATAAAAGAGATTTGAAAAAAAGTACAATTTAATTTCGAATTATGCAATTGTTACATTTTTAATAGGAGTAAAACATGTTTTTCACTCAAGAGGTAGAACTTTTTTTTATATTTGTATATATTATATTTTTTCAAATATTGATCTATACAAACAATCAACAGTTTGCCATAAACTCTATTTTAAATATAATCGGACAAGTACAAAACCTCAAACTGTACTGTAACAAAAAATACGGCTCGAAGGACCAAATCAACAATTAATTTTTGAACTAATACTGCAATATTATAGACATAATTATTTACCAAACAAAGTGCCTATTTTCCTAGCAGTGGTGGTGGTGATGTGTCCCCTGCCACGCAACCAGTCCAGGGTTCTGCTGAGGGCCATCGTGAACAACCAAAGCGACAGAAATGGTAATGCTGTGGTGACTGCATTCTGAAATTGTTCACATTTATTATTTGACTTAAGTTTTCAATGTTTTTTTGTATTTCTTTACACAATATTGTTAGTTAAAACTATAAATTAAATTAATATCACATAATGTAGATAAGGTATACATATAAAAACTTTTTAACAAAAAAATAAAAACCGACTTCAAACAAAAGCACTAAAAAGTAAAAAATAACTGATTGGTAGTTTTCATTTACTATACATACCTAATCAAATATATTCGAAGTCGGTGTGCTTTGCTTTAGGTATATGGCCTGGCACCGATTTCGAAAATATTTGATTAGGTATGTATTTAATAGGTAGGCTTTAATTACTTAGCCAAAGCACACCGACTTCGAATATATTTGATTAGGTATGTATAGTAAATGAAAACTACCAATCAGTTATTTTTTACTTTTTAGTGCTTTTGTTTGAAGTCGGTTTTTATTTTTTTGTTAAAACGTTTTTATTTTTCCCTTTTTAGTGTAGACAGTAGTAGCAAAGTAAGGATTCTAACGTGTTAGGCTCGTGCTGTGCCAGCGGTCGCGGGTTCGAGTCCCGCTGGGGGCATTCATTATGTGATGAGCACGAATGTTTGTACTCCAGTCATAGGTGTTTATATTTATAATATGTATGTATTTAAAGTTATATATGTGTAGTGTATCAACTATCTGGTATCCATAACACAAGCCTCGTAGCTTACCATGAAACTAGATGGTGCTGTGTGTTAATGTCCCAACATATTTATTCATATTTATTTCTCGTGAAACACAGCAACAAAATCCGGAAATTAAACAAGACCCTTCTACTAATAATAGCACAGTGACAAATTACTGCTTATTCTTTAGTGTAGGTTATCGATTTATTCGTTTTTATATGGGAACACTGTAGATACTGTAGCTATGTCGCAGGCATATTGTATGACTCGTCTTTTTAGAAACGGCGCGCTCTGCTTGCAAACTCTAACGAGTTTGTTAAATACATTCTAGTTAAAACAATAACACTTTGCGTTATAAGATACAGCACTATAGGAAATAAGGGTTTCTGGGTTCAAAAAAAAAGTATCTAAGTGGAAGCCTAAGACTGGAGCGAAGCGAACATTGCAAAATACACGACTGTTTTGTAAAATAGCTTTTGGTTTTATAAAATAGCTTTTGGTTTTATAAAATAGCTAATTTTTGTTTACTTTTAAATCATGTTTACATATTTTGGCAAGATAAAGCTCAGAAGCGCTTTCTAATTCGCCTTCGGTATTTTACAAACAGACGGCACCGTTTGTGTATTGACGATTTTGGAAGGCGGCCCTTCTCGGTGGGTCTGAGAAGGTGTACCATGTGGTTTCCTTTTGGTGCTCCTCTGATAGCAGAATGGACCATGACAACAATTTTTCCTGACAAGTTTTCCTTGGGTTTAAAGAGTACGTAGTAAGTACTGGCTTTTCTTTCCAATGAGTTGACACGTAAGAACCTGTATTTAGCCAGGTGGTATGGTACATGCATTTCTCAACGTAAAAAATGAAGAATGAAAATGAATGAATGAAGAAAGAAGAAACGTCAAGAATGAATGAATACTAAACCTAAACAAAAATGAAGTTTATTAAATCATTATTTTAAGTGCCTCGAAGAAAGTTTAATTAAAATAAAACAAGATTAACACAGCTAACGAAATAAAACAATATACTCGTATGTTGAAAACTCTACAATAAACGGACGTTAAGAAATAGAGAGCATTAGTTCCTTTTCTTATTGCTTATTTCTTATTTGCTATGGGATCCAGATTTTTTAATCTTTATTTTCTTGGAATGAATTGTGTCTTCGTACAAAATAGCTTCCAAATTAATTATATGTGTATGATATGACCATATGTGCATGATATTTTTTTAAATGAAAACTTACTTGTGTTTTAAATAAAATTATCATTTCGGATTATTTCGCGGATTTATTTTGATTTTTGGTTCCCGACGTTTCGAATGCTTTACTGCAATCATGGTCACGGGAGAGACTAAGGTAAGGTATAGACGTCTCAAAGGCGTTTTAAACTTGTTACAGACAGTGCCTACCCACTATTTTTTAATGATTAAAAAATTTAAAAATGGCATCAAAGTATATAATATTTGTTGATTTTTATTTCTAAACATTTGGAAAATTTAATAAGTATTATAATTAAATATAGCAATATTTTTTATTTAATTTTAGCTGTTATTATTATAAATATTACAATTTAAAAAAAAACTTTATTAATTACTAATATTATTTAGTGTTATTATTGTTAAATTATATTTAACTATAAAGAATATTAAAAAAAATAAAAATATTAATTATTTATTTAAGACTCAAGTTCTATCTGTAGATTAACTCAACTGATCGAAATGTTATCCAAGTTTTAAATGTTGGCCTTGATTTATAAAGTCCAATTGGTATCTGTCCAGCAGTTCTCAAGCCATTAAACATTTAGAAAAACAAAATATATGGCAAAACCCATATATAATATGGATACATATTAAAGTTAAATTATTTTATACTAGTACTCTCTATATATTTTATAAGTCTCAGCGCCATTAAATATTTTAACTAACAATAACTAATGTGTCATTCCACGTTATAGTCATTGTATGTGACAAACAGACATCGTATGTGACAAAGTTTCGCATTTTTAAAAGTATGTTTAATGTATATATTATAGTGTATAGTACAAAGTGTGATATTTTAAACATATTATTTACTTTATCATATAAATTGTGTGACGATATGTAAAGTATGTATGTATATATACATCTAGACTATTTTATAAGTTACCGTGCATAGCGCGTCCACTTTAAAAGAGGTCACTTTTTATAGCCATTGACAATGAAGTCAAGACAGTTCAAGAGAGACTGACAAGGTGCTTTGAATTTGATATTATACATACAAAAAACTAAATATTGTTTATGCATAACGTCATTTTCAAAATAATATTTGTTATTATGAAATAATAATATTATTATATTGAAAATGACCTATTTGGTGATTAATGTACTATGCGGGCGGAACCGCAGGAAAACGCTAGTTATATATAACACTAGCATTGCCCGCGGCTCCGCCCGCGTTTAGATGACCAAAAACCAAATTCTTAGGTTTTACGTATTAGTATACTCTTACATTGCAGTTTTTGTATTTTTTCTCAGAAATAAGACATCTTCCCGCGGTAAAAAATACTATATGTTGACCCGGATAACCTGCTATCACCACACCAAATTTCATCAAAATCCCTCCAGTGGTTTTTCTGTGATGCGGTAACAGACACACAGACAGACAAAAATTCTAAAAACTATAGATTCGGCCTCTGTATCGATAATAATGTTTATATGAATAAATAACGCGCTATGAAGAGCAATAATTTTGTGGTATTACTTGGAAAATTGGACAATTACGAATTGGAGTAAATATTGGCTTAAGTAGAATTATAATAGTTTAACATTAATCTCATTTTAAAACACCTATCCAAAAATGCTCAACACATTTATGTGCAGCCAAAAAAGCCTCTTCGCTACGGAACCCTAAAAAGATATTTGTTTTGTGCATTTGTAATTAAAATGCATAATAAAATTATTTTTAAGGACTTCAATTTCCGTAATATTAAATATGCATGCAAGTATGCCTTTCCTTAACTATTTATAAAAGAGACGTAAATCGAATTAAAATATTTATTATAAAAAGTTAATGGCATATTTTATTATAATTAATAAAGATTTTTCATGAAGGACCCAAAATTTATAAGTTGGCACCTTTATGATCTCATAAGGTGTGTAATATTCTCAGTTATGGCCATCTTTATGGTGTCAAAGGATTATATATATGTTATTAGGCACGATTCTGATTGCTCTTCATAATTTTGTTGTTCGTGAGTACTAGAAGGGGAATCGCACTGAAGTGTTTAAATGGCGCTGTTTAAACATTTTCTCGTACCGTTTTATTTTGTATCGAAAAAGTTTTTATATATAAGCGCCATTATGTATAGCGTAACGTGTGTGCGACGGTCGTTCCGTCAGAATTAGATTTTTGTTTCAACGATGTTAGCTTTTATCTCAATAATAACGAACAAAGCTAGTTGCCATCATCGAGTTAAATTAGAAAAATATTTTATTAGAAGTTTTTTACATGACTAAGTTTTGATAACTTATTTACTCCACGTTGTATTTGGTATTCCGTACAAACTTGCATTGTACCAAAGGTTATATATTAAGCAGTATAAATAGTTGCTTATGCCTACTTAAGAACTTTGAAAAAAAAGAAACAAATTCTCTATTATTATTTATCTATAAATGCCACAGGAGACCTGATTTTGAACTACTACTTATTTTGCTTACCTACTCAATGACGCCCGACGTATTTCAGGGGCAATATAAATTTAAAATTAGTTATAATTTATATTTAAAAAAAAAAAAAAAAAAAAAATATTTAAAAAAATGACACAAATATTAAACATTAAAACAAAAATGAGTATTTCTTCCTTGCCGCAAGTTGTACAAAACATCCCCCCCCCCAACGTGGGTTCACCTTGTCGTAGTGGGGGGGCTCAGTAATGACCGGCAACCCAACCGGGCGCGAAGCCAAGAAACGCACAGGGAGGTGGCCCACTTCGGTGGGCGGTGGGAGGTGGCCCTCTTCGGTGGGCGGTGTACCATGTGGGTTGCTCCTGGTACTTCTCTGATAGCAGAGTGGACCTTGGAGCAACCCCATGGTTGTGGTGGTCTGCTTCGGCAGACCTGCCGTCGGGGCGTCGTAGTTGAATGCGTAAGCGATCCTGCGACGCCCCATTAAAACGGAGGAAGGTTTTGTTGGGTTTTAGTGGGTAGTACTGGCTTTATTACGCCGGTGAATCCCACACCTCGTGCGTAAATGCATTTCCAACGTTAAAAAAAAATTGTACAAAACATACTAGTGTGTACATTATTATGTATGTTTCTGACTGCATAATACTATATACTATCGTAAACTTTTTTTATCTTTTTAGTTAGCTTTTATGCA